TGTTAGACAGAGCCTCAGAATCCTTTCCTTCAAGGAGCCTCCCAGTTTGACCCTTTCCAGGATGAATCTATTTGTTTTCCTAGCAGTCCATGGTATTCTCAATACTCTTCTCCAGCACCACAGCTGTTGTTAGCATTCTTAAATATTGCAACTAGAGGCTTGAATTTGTTCTTCAGTTCCTTCTGCTTAAGAAATGCCAAGATAACTTGGCCTGTTTGATTTTTCGGACTCCAGCTCCTTGCATTTGACTCATTTGACATTTGACTGTGTGGATCACAACAAGTTTTGGTTAACCTTTAGAAAAATGTGGATCCGAGAACACTTGACTGTGCTCACGTGAAACCTATACTTGGACCAAGAAGCAGTAGTCAGAACAGAGCACCGCATGCTTCAGGATCAGGAAAGGCATACATCAAGGAAGCAGCCTATTTCCATATCATTTCAATCTGTATATAGAACAGATAATTCAGGAGGCTGGGCTTTATGAGGAGGAATGTGACATCAAGATAGGAGGAAGACTCATCAACAACTACTGTTATGCAGATGACACAACCTTGCTTGCTGAAACTGAGAAGGACATGAGATATTTGCTACAGAAGGTCAAGAACTGTAGTTGTCAATATGGATTGAAGCTCAACATCAAGAAAATAAAGATTCTAACCGCTGGACAAATTGTCAGCTTCATGATAGATGGGGTAGAAATTGAGATTGTTAAAAACGTCAGCTTTCTGGTTCCACAGTCAACACTCTTGGCACCAAAAGATGAGTTGCACTGGGAAAATATGCCGTTAGGGACCTCTCTAGAGTCCTGAAGAGCAGCAATGTCAGTCTGGAGACTACAGTGTGCCTGATCCAAGCCACAGTCTTCACAATTATTTGCTATGTATCAGAAAACTGGACAATAAGGATGATAAAAGAACTGATGCCCTTGAGTTGTGGTGCTGAAGTAGAGTGTTGAACACACCATAGACTGCCAGAACAAAAATCAGGTATGTCCTGGAGACAGTGAAACCAGGCTGCTCCCTGTAGGCAAAGATTTTTAGCTTTGCCTCACATATTTTGGGCACTAGTCCTTGAAGACCAGTCTTTAGAGAGGGACGTCATGCTTGCAAGGATGGAAGGACAGGATAGAGAGATAGAACTGGATGAGATGTATTGACTCAGTGACTAGAGGGATGGGATTAGGTCTGCTGGAGATGATGTGAATGGCTCAGGATAGGGCAGATTTCAGAACTAATGTACATAGGGACCACTGTGAGTCGCAGATGACTTAATGGCATATAACAACAACATACAAAGGTTCAGGACTGTGTGGTTCACAACAAATTATGGCTAATGATTAAAAGAATGGGAATCCCAGAACATCTGATAGTGCTCATGCAAAACCTATACCTAGACTAGAAAGCTATTGTGCAAACAGAGAAAGGGAACACAGCATGGTTCAAAGTCAAGAAAGGATTACATTAGGGATATATCGTTTCTCCATACATACCCTTTCAATCTTTATGTGTAACATATCATTCAGGAGGCTGGACTTTAAGAAGAAAGATGTGCCATCAGAATTGGAGGTAGACTCACCAACAATGTGCATTATGCAGATGACACAACCTTGCTCACCAAAACTAAGGAGGACTTGAAGTGTTTGCTGCTGAACTTCAAAAATTGCAGCCTTCAGTCTGGATTGCATCTTGACTGTTAAGGATTTCTTCAGATTATGTACTATTAAGGATTTATCCAGAGTGCTAATGAGTAATTATGTATGTTTAGAGACTAAGGCATGCCTAATCCAGACATGGTCTTCTCAATTGCTTGCTAGGCATCTGAGAGCTGGAATGAATAAGAATTACTGAAGAATGTATGTCTTTAGGTTGTGGTGCTGCAGGAGAGTATTAAACATATTATGGACTGCCAAGAGAATTAATAGGTCTATTGGGGAGAGGGTGAAACCAGTTTGGTCCTTGGAGGCAAGGATTTTGAAGCTCAATCTCACATACTTTAGGCATGTTACCAGGAAGGAACAGTCTTTGGAGAAGGACTTCATTCTTAGAAGGGTAGAGGATCAGCACAAAATAGGATGACCCTGGATAAAATGGATTGACATGATGACTGTGGCAATGGGATCAAGTGTGTGTCTGAGATGGTGAGGTTGAGTCAGAATAGGGCAACGTTCAAAGTCATTGTTTATAGATGGTACTGAGTTGCAGTCCACTCAATGACTCATGACAAAAATATTTTTTAAAACCTAAAGGAAATGGATACATTTTTACAATATCATTGTATACCTATACTCACTAGCTGCTTGGTGGGAGAAGGATGGTCAATCTCTCCTCTGTGATTTACTGCCTCTAAAAATCCACTGAAGAGTCAGCTATGGATCAGTTTCAAACTGACAGCACACACCACCATGACCTAAACTCACAGAGACGGAAGGCATTTCCCTTGTAAACAGGGGTGCCTTTGACAAGAATCTGCACGGCAGTCTCAAAAGTATGCCGTTCCAGTCCATCACCTGATCCATGGGAGAAGGATGAGCAATATCCCCCAGGGTGATTAACTGGCTCTGCAAACCCACCAGAGGGTCAGCTATATGGGTTGGTTCCAAGTTGGTGGTACACAACAACAACAACAATTTGTATTGCAAGTCCTAGTCTGAGCAATAGGAAAGAAAAAGAAAGGAAGAACATCCAAACTGATTAAAAGGAAGTAGAACTATAATTGCAAATGATATGATACTACATAGGAAGCTTTGGTGACATACATAGTGGGTAAGGAGTTACGCTATTAACCCAAAGACAGGTAGCTTGAATCCACAATTTGCTTAATAGGAGAAAGATGGGCAATCTCTTTCCATACAATGTGCTAGCCCACTGGAGGACAAGCTATGAGTTGGTTCTGATTTGACAGCAAAAAGGTATAATGTTACATATATTCAGAGAAGGTTCCAGAGACTTGGCAAAATTATTACTGTATCTAATTTCTCAGGTCAGCAAAGTAGCAAAGTACAAGATATAAAAAAGATATTAGTCAGATTTCTTTACATTAATAAAGAAAATGCAGAGGCAAAAATAACAATGCCATTTACAATAAACACCCATGATTAAATATTTAAGGATAAATTTAACCAGAGATACAAAATACATTTAATAGGAAAACTAAGAAACCTAAAGATACCTGCAGAAATGGAAAAATATTACATGTTCTTGGATCAGAAGACTTAACATTGTGAAAGTGACAAATCTACAAATATTATTTAATCTCTATCCAGATAATATTATCATTTCCAAAGATATGGAAAAAGTAATTATAATTTTATACACAAAGGAATATATCCCACATAAGCAGAGATATTGAAGAAGGAAAATAATTAGGTAGTAAAACCTACTATATATCCCCAGTAATCAAAACAAATAGTAATTAGTACAAAGACAGTCAAATTGGCCAATGAAATAAAATTGGGAGTCCAGAAATAAATCCATTGATCAGTGGACAACAGATCTTTGAGAGATAAATTCCATTAAGTATAGAAATTACAGTCTGTTTAACATATGGTGCTCGCAGAACTGGATGTCAATTTGAAGAAATTTGAAAGAAGACCCATACCTTATACCATGTAAAAAACCAACACAAGATGGATCAAGGGTCTTGGTATACTATTTAAGACCATAAATGTCATCAAAGAAAAATATTGAGGTAAACTTAGGAATGCTATATGATTTAAATACGTTATTAAAGACAACGGATGCACAGTAAACAGAGGATAAACTAGATAATTGAAACATGCTAAAAGTGAAATTCTTTTATGCATCAAAAGGCTTCTTCAGAAGAGTGGAGGTAGGGAAGAACCTAAAGATTGGGGGAAAATATTTAACAATGGCACCCATCTCCAAAGTTTATGGAAATAATAGATAATTTATAGAACACTCCAACAGCTAAACAAGAAAAAGACAAACAATCCAATTACAAAATGGACATAGAAGGGGAGCTCTGGTGGCCTAGTGGCAAGAAGCTGCACTGCAATCCCAGAGGAACACGGTT